GAGAGAGAGAGAGAGAGAGAGAGAGAGATGACACAATACCTTTATTTTATTGTATGTATGTATGTATTTATATTTATTTTTATGTGGTGCTGAGGATTGAACCCAGCACCCTGCATATGCTCTACTGCTAAGCCACAACCCCAGCCCCCATGCCTGGTCCTTTTAAAAATTTGATTTTGAGACATGATTTTGCTAAATTGCTAAGACTGACCTCAAACTTGCAATCCTTGTGCCTCAGCGTCCCAAGTACCTGAGATTACAGGCAAAAATCACTATGCCTGGCTTATATTGATGTTTGATGTTATTGTTCCTCTACAGCCCCAGAGAATATTTATACCTTTCAGTATCCTTAATTGTTATCATTCACTGAAAGTAAAACTCTGGCCCAGGTACTGTCCATGATCTCATTTAATCCTTCCAACCTTAAAGGTGGTTTGAAAGGTTTGACAGAGGATTTGAGATAACTTTCCTAATAATATACTAACTGGCAGAGCTGAGATACCAACTCCCGTCCATGTACCATCAAAATCCTCCCAGTCTCCTTTTTCCTTCTATTCATTTTATATATTGCTGCCAGATTAATTCTCTTAAAATACACCTGTGATAATTAATTATACTTACCTAGTCAAAAACCTCAGTGGTTCCCTCTCAACTACTACATTAAGTCTAAACCATTTAGCTTGGCATACAGTGTTTCCCTAAACTCTGATTGAATTTATTTCTTCATCCTAACCTAAAATATCATCTCCTATTTCTCTATTACAATGTCCAATTCTCTAATGAAACCATACCACTCCCTCCTCCCACATATTCCCTCCTTTCTCCCTCCTCTGACCCTAAATTAATGCCATCTTTCTGGAAGGCTTTAATCAAATCCTACCCTTTCTTTGTGACTCAGCTCAAAGTCTTTTCATTTTAGTGAAATTTTTTTATTCATCAACTAAAAGATATTTCCTATTTTTATAAAATTATAACTTATCTTCTGAAACATGTACTTTGAAAATAGAAAAAGAAACATTTCTTGAAGCATTTGTAACATCATTAGAAAAAAATGATACAAACATGAAAGAGCTAAGTAACAATTATGGGTGTATATATTAAAATGTCAAATAAATGGTATAGATCCTTACACTCAGGACCATGGACCCCTAGTCTAGAGATACATCTCAGAAGACCACTCAATTTTGTGTTTTATTTGATAATTATGAAAGAATTGAAAAGGTGTTAAGTCAAAAAAGTTCTTTTACAGTAATACACTGCTATTTTCAAAATAGACCTTATTTTTTTAAAGAGAGAGTGTGTGAGAGAGAGAGAATTTTTAAATATTTTTTTTTTAAATTATCGGCGGGCACAACATCTTTGTTTGTATGTGGTGCTGAGAATCGAACCCAGGCCACACGCATGCCAGGCGAGAGCGCTACCGCTTGAGCCGCATCCCCAGACCAAAATAGACCTTATTTTTAAGTTTAAATTCATAGAAAAATTGAGCAGAGAGGATTGAGTTTCCATAT